AAACTGGCTACACACAAAAATTATACATTCATGCTGTCACTCAGAATGACTAGATTCACATATTTTTCTCGGTCACCTCATTGTAAGGTGATCCCACCACAAAAAGAACCAAATATATAATTTAATATATATCAGATACTATAGCATTAGGTAAACACTAGTAAAAAGCTATCAGGTTAAAGCATATACATCCATTCCTACTATGGTCTTAACAAGTACTTCATAAAATTCACCAAGTCAAGATGGTAGAACTGATACTATAGGTCTTTCTCTGAGTCCCTTGTCATTTGTTATGTGGATAAAATGAAAGCAGTCTCTCAGGCTCCCAAATGAAAACAATGCTTATGCAGCCTGGATTACTGAGCCTAGTGAGTCTATCTGTGCTCTGAAAGAAATCAAACTGTTGCTTGAAGGCAAAGTTCAGAGTTGTTTGTCTCCAACAACCTAAAGCTGAGAGTTGAGCTCACACAGACTTACAGCCATTTTGCATAGGTTCTTGCTTCTGCTTTTAGAAGACTGTCACTTCTTTGGACTTTAGTCTAGAAAATTTAAATCTACCACAGAAGAACTTTACTACAAAAGTTTATCCAATCACACCTATAATCTTAGTTTAGACCTAAGGATCTCTGTTTGAAGCCACCCAGGGCCAGAAAAATCTGTGAGACTCATCTCCAATTATCTACTCAGAAAAGGCCAGAAATAACTCTGTGGCCCAAGTGGTAGCTTTGAACACAAATGCACAGGAATTCCATCTAAGCCCTGAGTTCAAGTCTAGCACGTGCATGCGCACGCACATGCACACACACACACACACACACACACACAAACGATTATTGTTTCTAGAGAAGCTTTACGTTAGGTCACCAAACTATAGGCCATCTTCCTATAAGAAAATTAGATATTCAGCATACAAATTAAAAAATATATAGAAAAGAAACACCAAAAATATCAATCAGTAGCATATTATTCCATTCTTTAATTGGAATTTCAATTATTAAGGCACATTAATAAAAAGAAATTGTATCTATATCTTTAAGGCAATGTTTAGATGGAAACAATTAGGACTTTATATAATTTTAAATGTAATGTGCTCACCAGGTAGGGTGGTTCACACGTGTAATCCTAGCTACTCGGGAGGCTGAGAACTGAAGGTCACAGTTCATAAGACCAGGCAGAAAGGTCCATAGACTCTCATCTCCCATTAACCAGCAAAAACATGTCATGGAGGCATGGCCCAAAAGTTATAGTACCAGTTTAGAATGAAAAAGTCGAGAGTAAAAGGCCCTGAGTTCATGCCCCAGGACTGGCGCCAAAGAAAAGTAACAAGCTAGATCGGAAAACATGATGAATTATGGAATCATATGAAATATATGGATTTGTTCCCAGTATATGTGTTTCCATATCTCCACCTGTAAAATGGGTGAACCATGCTACCAGTTTCTAAGTGCTTTTCAAGACTTACTCCACAAGCCTTCAGTTTTGCTGTGTTTTGCATCTCATTGGATGTTAAGGGAGGAATGAAGATTTACTGACTCAGTTCTATGGAAACAAAAGATACATGAGGTTTTGAATAACTAAGTCATTTGAATCAGCTTATTAGGTAAGAATCGTATGAAATGTTCTCGTTAACCGTATTGCTTGGGAACTCTAAGTTTGTTAGAGAGTTCTAAATAATTAAGTGGATTTTCATATGAACTAGTAAACATGGCCACAAGTCATTTCCCTAATGACTTCTAATTCACAGAATTTGTCTTTAAAAATGCAGATTCGTCTCATATAGTAGATGCCAGCATACCATCTGATGAAAAGGAATCACATGCTAATTTATTAGACCACTTGCAAATGAGTGAGTCTAGAGTGTGGAAATACGCTTATAGATTTGGGATTATCTTCTTTTACTACTTAGAGCTAGTCTGGAAAAGCGATTACAACAATAGAACCCAAGTGTAACAATATCTATCCTGTACTTAAATAAACTTGTAGTTGGCAGAAAATCATCTTCCCATTTATTACAAATCTGCTAGGATATTTTTTTAGAATAAAGTGTATTCCTGAGAGGATAGGGTCTAAGCAAAATTCACTAGTGCTATAAAAATAAGTTTTAGAATTGTTGTTTTAATTACCCTGAAACAGATTTCTGCAAAGCATGGCTTCTCAAGAGGTATTTTATTGTACACCATTATAAAAGAAGCTCAAGTGCTTTGGAGCATAGAAAATTTTTTCTCTCAATACAGTTAGTATTCCTAAGAATATATTATGGGGTGATATGAAATAAGAGTATTTAGAACAGCAATGTATGTATCTGAAATGACCAGAAGTGTTATTCATAACATAATCTACAACAAATTTTGGTGACTAGGCAGATACCTGAGCATGGGATTAAACATAGGAAATCATACATGCTGAAATGTGACTTTAGTGTTATATATTAACTTGAGAATTGATAGTAATCAAACACCTGAATACTTACTCTGCTTAAGGACACAAAACCAGTCATAAGCAAAGTTGGCTAAGGTATTTGTTTAAAGGTTATACAAATACATCGTAAGTGATGGTGAAGTTCATATCTACAATGAACTCAGACTTACCAATAACTAAGAGTCCACATTAAATGTTTTTTTATCAGTACTGATGTGTTAGTTCAGGTTCTCATACTCGCTCAGCTGGAATACTACCACTTAAGCTATGCCTCCAGTCCTGCTTTTTCTGTTTTGTTTTGTTTTTGAAATACTGACACCTGGACTTCAATGTTAGGTTGGCCTCAATTTGAGATCCTCTATATTTCAGCTCCCTGAGTAGCTACAATTATAAGCATCAGCCCCTAGTGCCCAATTTAAATTCATTAATTGGAAATAGAAGGCTTTCGGCTTATAGATTTTCTTTCAGCCATCCAACAATCTCTTATTGAGGACTAGGAATTGCTTCATGTACTAGAAAATTCAGGATACAAAATTTGATCCTTACATTCAAAGCTGTGATAGTCTGGGCATTGTAATAGAAAGGAGATACAGTTTTCCAATCATATAGGGTAGCCCTCTTATAAGAAAATTATTCTGAGTACAAAGTAAATATTGGGAAAAGAAACAACAAAGATATCAAAGGCATATTATTCCTAACTTAATCAGAATTTCAATTGATAAAGCCCATTCATAAAACGAAGTTGGTATGAATGGCATGGGAGCCCAGAGGGAGGGCACAGTTATTTGTAGTATTTACTTATGTATATATATATTGATCGATTGATCAATTGATGGACCAACTTGAATTCAGGACCTGGGCCCTATCCTTGAGCTTTTGTGCTCGAGGTTAGCCTCTACCACTTTGAGCCACAGCTCTATTTCCAGCTTTTCGATAGTTAATGGGACACAAGAGTCTTATGGACTTTCTTGCCTGGTCTGGCTTTGAATCACAATCCTTAGATCTCAGCCTCCTGAATAGGGTAGTTAGGATTACAAGCACAAGTCATTGGCATACTAATGTATTTATTTACATATTTGTTTACTTACTTACTTAATTTTGTGGGGTGTTCCCGGTCTCACCTTCTGAGTAGAGTAGCTAGGTTACAGCCATGAGTCATTGGGACCCTAATGTATGTATTATTTATTTTATTTATTTAATTTTGGTGTGTATGTGTGTGTGTGTGTGTGTGTGTGTGTTCCATTATGAGGGCTTGAACTCAGGGCCCTGTACTCTCACTTCACTTTTTAGCTCACACTGGTACTCTACTATTTGAGCTATACCTCCAGCTCTGTCTCTGGTAATTTTGCTTCTAAATCTAAGTTGCAGATAGCCTTAGGCCTTTCAAATTGTTGCTTTCAATCTAAATTAGGAAGTAAGTTTTTGTAGTAACACAGGGCTTTCTGGGCAACAATTTGTTTGGGTTTGTGCCTCTGGTTAAGAAAGGTGTTAGTTATTAGTTTAGAATGGATGCACATTTATTGCAAAGTTGCCTTAATAATGAAACTGTCCTTGAACATGAACACCCACAAATGATAGGTTTGTTTCCATTAAGACATATGCATTTATTTTTACAATGCTCTTAGATGCAGAAAATGTTATAAGACACATGACACGTAATTTTGTTCCATTCATTTATAAATTTTCAAAACATTTGACATCAGCAAATCTAGAAGAATAATCAAAGGTTTTTGATAGTCCATAAAAAATAGTTTTCTAACCTGTATGAATTGAGAAACATTGTTGTATTAGATGATATTGGTAAAGTTTAGAAACATAGTTGATTCTTTGGTGGTTTAATTTTCAAAGAGGAGAACTTTTAATTTACCAAGAGAACATGTGTTAAATAAAGGAATGTAAGTTATAGTTTATGCTCATGTCAATAAGCACATATTTTTTCTAGGGCTCCTATTCTTTCTTGAAAAATATATGTTATTCCCCTCCCCAATACCTATTTTACTGACTATTACAACCATAGAAAATTCATCCTATTCATCCTAATGTGAAGTTTTGAATTAAAAGAATTAGAAAGTCAATGTTGACAGTGATTTTGGAGTGAATTAGGACAAGGGAGCAAAGGAGAGTCCAACATCAGCTGCAAAACTAAACTTTCATATAAGAAAGTAGCATGAAAATGACAGGCCAATGTATAACAATTTCTTATTTCTCTCCTTTAAAAAATGAGGGTAGAAATCAATCAATGATGTTTCACTTATTCATTCAACAAATAATTGTCAAGAACCTACTATGTAATAGAGGCCAACAATAGAATGGAGAAAATAAAAGGCACATCACCCTTGCCCATATGGAATTTGTATACAATGGGAAATTTTAACATCTTATATACATTGTTTCAAAAGATACAGGGAGGGGGATAGAGTGGGGTGTAATTTGGGCTGATAACAGGTTAGTAAACAAGTGAAAATCAAATTGACTGATCATGTACTGGCAGTGGCCACTCGTGAGTCTCAAATGGTATCTGTTTTTTGCTCTGGGTTGCAACTACTACAAGTTCATGTACATTTTTCTTTGATTCCCTCTAGTATATGACTGCTGCTGCTCCTATGCAGGGGACCTACATTCCCCAGTACACGCCTGTGCCTCCGACAGCTGTTTCTATTGAAGTAAGTCGATTCTTGTCTTGTAGAGAGATATTAGGAGAAATAAGTCCCAGTGACCTATACTTTGGTCCCCATAACCATGGAAACCTCATGGATAATTGTTGTGCTGCTCCAAAATAGGTAATTGCAAGCTCAGTATACAAAACCTATGTACATTTACACAACTTGCCCATATTTTATTTTATGTACAGAATGCTTAGAGAAAAGTCCAGAGAACAAATCACTACTACATCCAATGTTAGTCTTAAATACTCATAAATATAAAGAAAAATGTTTACAACAGTTTGAATGAGTTAGCCCTCCAGTGTCCTGTTCCTCAAAGCGATGGACCAACATCACTGGCATTGTCTTGAGCTTGTTACAAACACAGGGTCAGATGCCATCACTCAGTGAAATTTCATTTCATTTTAACATGCTTTTTCCATGATCCAAATGCACATTAAAATGTGAGACACTGGATTACAATTCTCCAATTATTCTGCACATTAACATTGTTATAGGAACATCAATATTATTTTTCTTCTTGGGTTCTATAACCAGAGATTTTATTGATTTGTCTGAAATATGTACTGGACATCAGAAATATTTTGTAAGATTTCAGGCGAACCTAATATGTATTTTAAAAATTAAGGGAGAAAGAACTTGCTCTGGATGTTTTTTGCTAGCTTTGTCACTCAAGACTGGATCTCTGCCACTTGAGTTACAGCTCTACTCCTGGCTTTTTTAGTTAGAGATAAGACTCTTATGGACCTTCCTGCCAGGGATAGCTTCAAACTGCAACTCTCAGATCTCAGCCTCCTGAGTATAGAGAATAATCTACTAGGACATGAGGCTCTGGTGCCCTGTATGAATGAACCTTGACAGATTTATGACTTCTTATAGAGAAGATCACTGTGGGTATCATAAATGATGCTTTCGTCCCATCCTTTTTGGAAACTTTGTCCTTTCATCTCTCTTTCTGTTCGGATGAGTTCAACCATTCTAGCTTCATTTTATTGGACCAAGCCATTAAACTAAATGTAGAAGGAGAAATCATAGGGCTCTGCTGCTGCTGATAACCACAATTAAATCAGTATCCTTCTCACTGCTTCTAGTTCTTATTTTTAGTGCTCTCCTGATGCACATGTCCATTAAGGTAAGTGCATTTCTTCTCATAAGCTGGACATCCCAGGGAATGGTCAGAAATTAGGGTATTTGCATATGATATTCCACCAGTGAAGTTTGATAGAAACCTTTACTGATTGAATTGAGTATTTAAAAATGGTTATTTATTTGTTTTGAGTATGTAGAAATGTTTGCTTGTATCAAGTTTAATTAGGCACTACTGTGTAATTTAAACATCCAAGAACAAGAAATTCTTTAAAATTTGATAGGTTTTAGACATGAGCTTAAAATAATGTGTCTTAAACAGATTTTAATTGGAGTTTTTTCAGAGCCTTAGGAATGGGATTAAATGTGTGTATTCTACAATATTTCACTATCAAAAGCATCGATATCATGAGAAAGTCAATGACCTGGACATGGCAGGCACTGGAAGCACAAATTGTAGCCATGTATGTGCATGTTTGTATCTTCACACAAAAGGCATATGCTGCTCTCCAGAACCAGAACAACGTGATGAGAATAAAATAATGAGACACGTTTGTCAATGTGGGTTTTTGTCTAGTTATAGAGTTTGAAAAAAATTTCTCTGAAAAAATTTAAATACCCTCATGAAAAACACTCATTGAATATTCATCAGTGTCCACACAAATAAATACTGAGGCGCATGGAGGGGGGGGAGAGGGCTGGGGGAAGCAGGTGGCTTAGAAAGCCACAAGACAATATCACATTAGGAAAGAAAACAGTGAATAATTATAAGGAGAATTGTCCGATTCAAAGGAAGAATTTCAGGGATCTTTACTTAAGTAACAAATAATTGACTAACAGTACAACAGCACCACTAAGATCTAAGATTTATATGTAAAACCAGGAGGATGCTCTTCTCGGGTTTGCCAACATCCAAGGAAAGCTACCTGGGTCACCGTAGGACCCAAACATATGCTACTTATAATGACCAATTCTAGATATTCACTCTTGCTGCCATCTATAAGACACAGAGGTGAAAGAATGGTGAAAGAAAAAAAAAATACAGAACAGAGATAATTTCCAGTTCATGTTTCAGAAAACAAAGCCAAATAAAACATATCCAATTACTAAGGTGAAAATCTACTCAACAGTATTCTTTTAAAAAGATTTCCAAGTGTTGATGTAGAATTGTTATGAAGTCTAGAGTTACTATAATCTTGTCAAATGAAACAGGTATGGTACAATAAGCCTTCTTTGAATATGCAAATACTTATAGGAATCCTTAATGCATTTTTATTAGTTATTGTCTAGGATAATTGCATGAAATCACAGTCTAAAAGTTCTGGGTGTCAGTGGCTCACATCTAGAATCCTACCTACTCAGGAGGCTGAGATCTGAGAAATCATGATTCAAAGCCAGCCCAAGAAGAAATGTCCAGGAGACCCTTATCTCCAATTAACTAGCAAAACACCTAGAAATGAACTGTGGCTCAAATGATAGAGTGCTAGCCTTGAGTGAAAAAAAGCATCCAGGCCCTGAGTTCAGCTCTTCTACCAGAGAAAGAAGGAAAGAAAGAAAGAAAGAAAGAAAGAAAGAAAGAAAGAAAGAAAGAAAGAAAGAAAGAAAGAAAGAAAGAAAGAAAGAAAGAAAGAAAGAAAGAAAGAAAGAAAGAAAGAGATAGAAAGAGAGAGAGAGAAAGAGAGAGAGAAAGAGAGAGAGAGAAAGAAAGAAAGAAAGAAAGAAAGAAAGAAAGAAAGAAAGAAAGAAAGAAAGAAAGAAAGGAGGGAGGGAGGGAGGGAGGGAGGGAGGGAGGGAGGGAGGGAGGGAGGGAAGAAAGAAAGAAAGGAAGGAAGGAAGGAAAGAAAGAGAGAGAGAGAGAGAGAGAAAGAGTTTCAAGTAAGGGCAAAATGGTTTTCTGCCCATCTGTCCTGTTTAAGCGTCTGCATTCAGAGGCACGTGCATACATGCTCCATTAATTTCCTCTAAGTACATATGTAGCCAAGAGCATCTCGTCTCAAACCAGTAACACAGGTATTTAAAGTCCATCCTGACAAGGATCTTTTGCTAAAGCAAATAAGGATTTTGTCTATTTATTGCCTCCATAGGGTGTTGTTGCTGATACCTCTCCCCAGACAGTGGCACCTTCCTCCCAGGACACCAGTGGTCAGCAGCAACAAATAACAGTGGATGCACCCAATGAGCACGCACCTGCATATTCCTACCAACAGTCTAAGTAAGTGGGGCTAGTGCTAAGCTCATTCTCTCAGGATAATCACTTTTCTCAGTCTGTACTTATACAGGTAACCATGCCACATGAATGTTTCTTTAGCACATAATTAATTGCTTGGATGGATTTGGGCTGACATCATGGATGTTTCTTCTCATTTTAGCTGGATTCAAGCGTGGGGATCAGCTGCTGTTTATCTATGGGGCTAATTTGGGGTGGGCACTGGGTGATGGTTGTTGGGTGATGGAAATGATTGGATTATGTTTCAGATCTTTTAACCAGATAGTTCCAGGACAGAAAGAAAGAAAGCTCAAAGGCAGCAAGCTTTTCAATTCTCCCCCATTGGCTACTGTCCAACTGGCCAAAGTTAGTCACTGGTACCAAGCAGTGTCAGTGTAGATGTTCACTACTAGAGAATGGCATTGCAGTTGTTTTGTTGTGGTGGTGGTGTTGTTTTACCAGAAACAACAACAAAAACCTGTCATATGTAGTCTTGGGAAAATTTCAAAATTACGGTATTCCAATGCATGGATGTTGCATTCTGCTCTCTCCTTTCACTCTGAAATGAAGACAGTGACACTTTCCATGCAAAGTTATTTTGAACACACAGTTAAATGTACATGAAAACCCATATTGAAAGTAGAAGTAGAGCCTCACTCAGGAATTCAGTTGCAAAGAACATCAAGTTGTCAGAATTAGCCCTGGAAATTTTTAAATCACTCATCGTAACTACATTAGGCTTTGGGTTGAATACATATGTAGAGTAAAATCTGAGGGTTTTTTTCTGTACCAAATGAAAGGAATTCACTATAGGAAAATTTACATACAGATATCTTCACATGAAAACCATTCAACTCTGTAGATCACAATCTATGAAACTGGTCAACAGAGAATTCCTAGATAGTCTTTTTTAGGGAGTGTTATTCCATTTTCTTGTCATCATTTTGCTTCAGAAAGGAAATTTATTGTCATTTTTAAAAGAATAAAGAACCCAGGTGTGGTAACACCTGTAATCCTAGCACTTGTAGGTAGAGTCAGGAGATTTGCAAATTCAAGATAACCCAGGCTACATAAACAAACCAACAAACAGAGTAAAGAAGACAGTACTCAGGACTATTGCAATTTGTGTTAAGATTTCATAATAGTGGAAAGAGATTAGAATTATATCTGAGACTTTAATGAAGAGGTGAGTGTGTGGAAATTACTAAGAAGAGACAGCAGGAGTAGATTTTTAGCTAAGATTCCTTAAGAGGATGCTTACTGAAGCCAAATCAAGGTAGGAAATGAAGATACTGACCAGATATTGATGATTATATATCACAGATGGAGAATTCTGTCTAAACTGCCTTAATATTCTTGCTGAAAATAAGCTATATAAACCTGCCAAGAATGGGAGCCAAAGCCTATTAAGAAGAGAGCTCAGATGGCCATACTGAAACTTGGCCAAGGAGAGAATCGTTGTACTCCTTAAATGGAGTCTTCTGTGTATAGTTAAAAATTAAATTTGCTTAGGATATCAGTTAATGTTTCAAACTAAGGTATTATTATCACTGCTCTCCTTGCTATCAGAAATGACTTCTGGAAATACTGATGCTGAGTAAAACAAGCTGCTGTTTAATTCAGCTTCAGCTTGTATGTACATATTCTCATGCAAGGAACAATGGCACCATCTCTAGCACTGTGGTGATTATATCAAGGTGTTCAGTCTGGTAAGTGTGAGGAAAGGATCATACACTGGCTATGAAGAGTGAGAGTCACTTATGGGAAAGAAGAGAGATAATGTAACGGTTAATTTATTTGTCAATTTGGCTCTCAGTCATCTTGTGTCCAGATGGGCCAAGCATCATTAGGATCGTGGGAGTATTTTTGAGTGAGATCAGCATTTGAATCAGAAGAAAATAAAGCAGATGCTTCTCCCTAATGTAGGTGGCCCCCACCCAATCAGTTAAAGGCTGGAAAAGAACAGAAAGTGTACTCCTCCCATGAGAATGAGGGAACTTCATGCTTAAGCTGGAACATCTGTCTTTCCCTGCCTTTGGACTTGAAGTGAAACATTGTCTCTCCTTGGACCTCAAGCCTTCCAGACCTGGGATTGGAATTTTTGCCATCAGCTTTCCTAAATTCAGGATTTGGGATTAAAGCTGGAACAATACCATTGACTCTTCTAGATCTCCAGTCTATTGATTGCAGGTCTTGGTATCAGCCAATTCCTTATGATCTTTCCTTTCCACATTTCCTTCATAAATACACCACATGCTTTCATTTACTCATGTGTTCATTCATTCATCCATCATATCAGTGCTGTTTGCCTAGAAAACCCAGACTAACCTCTGTTTGCAGATACATCTCACACAGTTTAGTGAGTAGTTTTGTCTCTTCTAAATACATATAGTAAGAAAATGAGTGATCCTGTAACCTAGAATGGTCCTGCTATCAGATTGGTGGTTTCTGGATAAATGGAAGTTCATCCATCTATTTGTATAATCAACATTTATTAAGAACTCTGATGTGACAGCTATTATTCTAGGTGCTAGGAAAAAGGCAAGTGAAAGAAAAAGATGTCTCCCCATCTCTCAGGGTTTATTTTCTAGTAGGATTAGACTTATAGTCAATGGGTCAATTAAAACACAATGAAAAATAATGGACACCGGTGGCTCATGGCTTTAATCCTAAATACTTAAGAGGTTGAGATCCAGAAAACCATGGTCTGAGGCAAGCCAAGGCAGAAAATTCTGCAAGAAAAGTCTGCAAAAAGATGAACTGAAGGTGAGCCTCAAGTGGGGGATCATGTCCACAAGCCTAGCAAGTGCTGAGGATCTGAGTTTAAACCCCAGTACCAGGAAAAGTTAATTAATTAATTAGAGTAAAAATGAAACAAGCACAGAATTACAAAGGAGTAGAAAGTCTTCTTGTGGTAGACATGATAAGGTAAACACCTTAGAGTGTTATCCAGGAGATCTTTCTAGAAAAACAGTTTGAAGCTGAGTTTAGGGATATTTGGAGAAAAAGATGTGTGTGTGTGTGTGTGTGTGTGTGTGTGTGTGTGTGTGTGTGTGTGTGTGTGTGTGTGTGTGTGTGCTGGTCCTGGGCTTGAAGTTAGTGCTTGGGTGCTGTCCCTGACAATTTTTTTTGCTCTCTATCACTTGAGCCACAGCTCCACTTCTAGCTATTTAGTGTGTGTGTGTGTGTGTGTGTGTGTGTGTGTGTGTGTGTGTGTGTGTGTGTGTGTGTGTGTGCTGGTCCTGGGCTTGAAGTTAGTGCTTGGGTGCTGTCCCTGACAATTTTTTTTGCTCTCTATCACTTGAGCCACAGCTCCACTTCTAGCTATTTAGTGCTTAATTGGAAATAAGCAGCTCATGAACTTTTCTGCCTGGGCTGGCTTCCAACTGGGATCTTAAGATCTCAGCCTCCTACATAGCATCTGTTGGTAGTTTTTTGTTGGCTTTTTTTTTTTGTTTTTGTTATTTGATTTTGTTTGGGGGAGGTGTTTTTAGTTTTTAGGGATTTTGGGTTTTGTATTTTTACTCACGTCTAGTCCACTACCACTTGAGCCACAGCTCTACTTCCAACTTTTTGCTGGTTAATTGGAGATAACTGACTTTAGCACCCAGGCTAGCTTCAAACCATGATCCTCAGATTTGTGCTTTCTGAGTAGCTAGGACTACAGGCATGAATCACCAGTGGCCAACTGAAAGCATTCTACACAAAGGAAAACAGGTATTTGGAGGTTATTTGAAATCCATAAGGGGAATTCAAGGCTAAAATGTCTAGATTATCCCAGAGATAGGTAAAGCCCAAATAGGCCAGCTACTTTTCAAACCTTTGACTTTTCTAAGAGTCATTATATTTTGTTTAAAGTGAACATATAAAATTGGAAGGACTTTGACAGGAGGATGTCATTTATTTAGATAATATCAGTGACTATGCAGCAACATGAATACAGAGATACAACAGCTTAGATGTTTGGAAGTATTTTCTATAACAGTGGTAGTAGAAATGACAAGGGCTTCTTGATTACAAAAAGCTTGCTTTACACTTACACATTACATATATTGAAGGGTGCTTCACAGCTTCTGCTCCTTGACACAGCAGGCCAGACAGAGAGGAGAGTGCCAGGGGGACAGGAGACCTTCCAAAACTATGGAATGGGAAAACCACTTGTGTTTCCTTATCAACATTTTGTTAAACCTGTTAAAAAAAGGTTAACAGGCCCTATGAAGAGCTTTTTCATGGAAACAACAACAAAATATTGAAATATTAAACAGACCTGTGGTTGCCAATCACTACAGAAAAAAAATGCTACAAAAAGGAATAAATATGACACAACCCAAAGGTGGTGGTGGTGGTGGTTGTTTTTGTTTAATCAGTTTCAGCCAAGGGAATTAGGTCTGGGTTGTATGAAGACATATGAATTCTGCAGAACCAATCACAGAAGACCCACAGTTGGGCTAAACAATTGAGTCATGACTAAATAAAAGTTATTTTACCAATTTATTTCTGTTAGATTTGACCATTTTCTATACATAGGACTATGCTGTCCATACAGAGATTAACTGAAATCAACAACATTGTGAAGTTAGTTGCAGTCTATAGACTTCCCCAAATTCTTGTTATATCCTTTCTGTTGAGTATAAGGAGAGGGTCTCTGAAATAATTTAGCCTATCCACATTATCTTGGTTACCTTAAATACTCTAAAGTTCACAAATGGAAGCTCATTTCCAACATCATTATGCTAATCAATCTGCCTCCATTTCCATCAGGAAACCTCTTTCTAACAATCATTATGGTAATTGAGATATTGATAGCTTAAAGTACTTATACAAACTTCTACCCTTTCTCATTAAATGCTAGCTGACCTCTTGTGTGCTATGAAATTCCGATGAGGGCAAATTAGTGGCCCTGAAAATAGCTTGACATAGCATACATGTATTCAACACCAAAATGTCTACACAAAAGATATTAAAAATTACAACCATTAAAACAAAAGATTTCATGAGAAGAGTTT